CAAAACAAAAAGGAGCATAATTTAAATATGGCCTATACTACTTAGCTATAGATCTAGATCTAGATCTAATAGGTTTTGATACAATAACACAATAGAATTGGAGGAAGGAATTTGAATATGAATCCTCCATAAAGATCTAGATCTAGTAATCTAAATAAATCTAGAATCTAGATCTAGAAGATCAAGTGAATGGGAATAGGAGGCCTTGAACGAGAAATCCGCATCCGATTCCGAACACTCGAACAGAGAGAGGGACTCAGCTGAGATTCTACAGAAAATAATTCATACACCTGATGAAATGCTTTTTACCAGCATTACTATTATAGCACAACCTATGATAGGGTTTGACACAATAGAATTGGAATAATATATGAATCCTCCATTGAGGTCTATTACGATTTAGCTATAAATCTAGATCTAGATCTAATTAAAATAAACAAGTAAGTCGGACTCTTTTATAAGAATGAATCCACATGAACAGTCAACAAACGAAATTTAAAATAGCCGCTCTAGCATGAAACTGAAAGTAGATAATTTAGGTCGTCGTCCTTTTTCGTATTCGCATTTCTACTCAGGTTCCGACAACGACGTCGGCACGAAGACGGAAGCGCCGACAAAGCCGACGGGAGAAAAAGGGGGCACTGGCAGTCGGCCAGGCCTCGCACTTTGACTTATACAGGTAGGCCTAGCGATAGCATCGGCCGGCTCGCGGGTCGGGTCGCGATTGTCGGATTTCAGATGATTGTCGGCAAACATGCAGGTCTAATTTATACTCTCTAACACATGTCACACTTTTAAAGCAATAAAGCAACTCATCAAACATTATCATTACACAATACAGACTGATGGTACCTTGCCTTACACAACATAGCGGACAAGTCTCCTGTGTGTACACTTACCGACCAAAACCTTTGCTGCTGGGTTATCCACACCAATAGCTTTGAGAATAGTTGCCCCATCATTTGTCACTTGAATTGTCTCATTGTTGGAACTGGTCTGAAGGATTTTGTCCTGAAAGAGAAAACAGGTGAAAATGACAAACCATCTCACTCCACTGTCTAAAGGATTTCCACTCACGCACAACTATGTGTTACATAGTGTGAGTAAAGACATAATTATAAAGTCATTTGATGCTAAGTAAAAAAACAGTTACACAGGCAAGAGCATGAGGGAAATGCACAGGCTCTTAGATGTGCCTTCCAACCACCCACATGAAAGCCAGATAGATACACACCAACCCTCTGACAACACAAAAACAAGTGAAAATGAAAGAAATTAAATGCTTCAATGAATCTCTTCCCCCCCCCAAAAAAAGTCAAACTCCACCATACATGACCAACAGAAAATAAAAAATAAATTGCAAAAATGAACAAACACTTACCATCCCTTTTGGTCCAAGAGTACTCTTCACAAGGTCACCAATAGCAATGGCACCTACAAATGACGACTGTGAACAAATAAATAAAAAATTAATGTTAATATATGCTATAACACAATGCAATCCCTCAAGCAAAAATGCTGAACACAGGAAAACGACATGACATTGACAGGATTAAAATTAGAACAAAAGCCAAAAAAATAAAAATAAAACAATGTTATACAACTGCACTTTCTACAACCCCAAGACATTTGTTTACTTCAGACACAAAATAAAAAAACATCTTCAAACTCCTGGTAGTACAGTAGTAATAAACGAGAGCACTATAATTAATACAGGTCTAAAATTGTATTAATTATTTAATAGAAAGAATTGAAACAAACCATTCTCGCCGTTTCAGACTTCTCCTCCTCAGCTCCATATTTCAAAATCTGTACTGGATTTAATGACATCTGAAAGAAAAAACAAAATTCAGTCAGAATCTTAATCACACTTTTGTAGAAAAGAGTGAAATTTTAAAAGTACAAACAGGCACTACCTTTACATGAATTCAATACTGTAGAGAACGTAACCCTTTGAATTAAAAAAAATTATGTTTGATAATTACGCTTATATATATACTGTGCAGATTAAGACACTGACACATTTGTCGTGATAATTTAACATCCTGTAATCTTTCCAGTTGACAACCCCACCCCCCCCCACACACACACTTTGGTGTTATTTTAAGTAAATGTGAGTTATAGAAAACAGTTGCTCCACCATGATCAACCATGTCAACTCATTTAGTACCAATTCAATACATAATTCTCAGAGAGAGACTATGCTCCATTCACAAAGGCTGCTGTCTTAGGAAAAAAGGACGAATATCGGAAATTGGGTCAAATACAGATATCGATACCATGTAAAAGAGTATGAAAAGCTGCATCTTTTGAACCAGTGGCCATTACATTTAGAGATGTTCGAATACTTTATTTTGGTATTTGAAGTATCGTCATAATTTTTTCTTTTTAATTTATTTGATATTTTATGAAAGAAAGACGAATCTCTGGTCCTACTGTGAAAAAAGGACGAACACCGAGAGGTTCGTCCTCAGTTTACAAAAAAGCGACGAATATACCAATATTCGTCCTTCTTCGCCAAAACATTCCTACGTTACAATGCCACTGAAATACCAAAAGGCTCAAATCCTGGCATATCCGGCGTTGATCCCCCCAGTGTCAAGTGTGTTGCATGCAGTTAAACGGCAAGCACCACTGCTTGTGTACACTCACCAGAATTTGAACCCCAGTTCTTTGGCTCCACCGGCAAAGCGCAATTAAATAACAGTCTGGAAGCCCCAAAACACTTACATAAAACCAAACGAACCTAAAAAATCACAAAAACGAAAAATCCAGGACGTTACTAATTGACGTCGGGTGAAGAAAGAAAGACGAATATCGCTATTCGCCCTTTTCCCATAAAAAGCTAATTAAAACTTCATCAATCTGTTATGAAAGAATGACTTTTGTCTTCTCACACAAAATTTTGTTGATATTTCCTAACAAAATTTTAACTACAAGTGCATAATTGCACCATCCTTCCTCCTGCAAAAAATCAAGTTAAAAATAAAATAAAAAACCAACTTTTTAAACGTGAGACGAATAAATTTGATTTTTTGGCCCTCCAGGAAAATGGGTATATTGAGATATTCGTCCTTTTTCCCTAAGAAGGCAGAAGTATTGACCAATATACACACATTCTCTTATTCTGCCAGTGTCTTAACGTCTTTGTTGTCTTATAACACACCTAGTACACCACGAAAAGGCATAATATATAATTTCTATTTTTGTGCCACAGCAGTTGACAAAAATTTACAGATTCTGATGGCTATATTTATATGACGTTAGATGTACATCATGTTAATGAACTGGCTTCTTCTTTCCTATCAAACATCTATCGTCCTTATCTCCCCTTCTTCTTTTTTATGTTTGTTACTCTCTTGTAACACCTCTAACCTTCTGGCGCTCATATGACCTTATGCAGTTGCGAGTGCCGTAAAACCTCTACTAAAACGAAAAAATGAACTGGCTTTTATTCTTTTGTGTAGAGATTTAGCCATAAACAATGTGGATTCCTATACTATTCGAGAACAGAAAATGAGCATAATTATATTGATATCAAATTTGCTAGTTCCGCTGGTAGTATTAGTTTACTGCTAAGCTTGAAAACTATCGATAAACACAGGTCTACTTGTAGTAGTCTAGTCTTTCGGATGATTTTATAGAAGGAGTTCTAGAGGCTCAGACAGCACCAGAAATTCAAGAATCAGGGCATTTTTACCCTAGTTATAGTTTCTTGACCAAATGCTTGAAACTTGTCTACCAAGCTAATTTGGGGGAGGAATCCAATGGTGACGTCAAAAAGTAAAAAATATGAATATTCAATTAGCTAATTAGCATAATAATTTGAATAAATTATGCTAAAATTGCAAAATGACGTTCTCAGTGAAAAAAAAATCTGTTGTCTAAAGCCAACATACAAAAAATAGACAAAAGAAAATATCAGGGCCCCCAAAAACTGATATATATATATATATATATAGTTTATTAAATAACTATTTAATAAATTATAAGCAAACTAGCCTAATTTGAATAAATTACGCAAAAATCTAAAAATTATGTTTTTGGTATGAAAATCAGCTTGTTTAATACCCAGTGCATATTGGGGGATCGGTTGTCTATCACAAACCGATTGCCCAACTCGAGGCCTTGAAACTAAACACATTAAATATTTTTTTGGGGGGTCATTGTCAGCTTCGTTCGGTTTGTGTTATGATGGTCGCTTTTCGCCCTCAATCTGGCTAGCCCTGCCTACGAAACTGAACCGATTGTGCCCGTGGGCATTGGGTATCATTATTAAGGTAAAAAATAAACAAGGATATTCCAGCACCCAAATTGATGATATAAATTTATCAAATGATAAAAAAAGCAAATGAGACTACCAAATTAGCGGAAACTTGATTTAATTTTCAAATATCTTGTCAGTTTGTTAGTGTTGAGCGCTTAATCCGCTGCTTGCACTGTTTGCTTCCCGGGAAGCTGAGAATGTTTCAGAGTGTTCTATGGTCTGCTGGGGTAAAAATATAGTGTAAAGTGCAAAGAGCCTGCTGTTGACAGGAATATGCGCTATATAAATGCTATTTATTATTATCAATATGGGCTCAAGGTCTAGTCCAATGGTAACATTAATTTTATGAATTAAATTAAAGCATTGTGTAAAGTAAAGTCTTT